TTCAGAGGTGTTATATCACCTGAAAGCCAGCTGCAAGTTACTCCTTGGCCAGCAATACAAAACACCCACTTATTTTTTGGCCTTATCAAAACTTTTGGACACCCATGCTGGGGAATTGTAAAAAGACCTGTGGGTAGTAAACAAATAAGCTTATGTAAGGGGGCTGAAGGTCATGAATACAATGGCAACCTATGACAAGGGACTGAGTGGAGAAACACACACCCTAATCACACAGTCGGTTTAGGGTCCCAACAAGAACAGAAAAACAAGGCCACACACACAAGCATGCATTGGTTTTCATTCCTCATGAGGACTTCACACTGATTTACATTAATTTCCTGGAGACATAACCTAACCTTAACCATACTTGCATAACGCTAACACTTAACCTGACCTTATAGCAAGTTGTCATACTAAAATTTCCCTGGTGCTGGTCCCCATGTGGAAGACAGAACCTACACAGGGTAATACTGTACCAGACACACACACACACACACACACACACATAAGTATGCATAATCTCCTTTTATATTTCTGTTTCTATTTATTTCATAATGAGTGTTTAGTTTTATATTAAGTACATCAGTTATTTCCTCATTTGTTATATACTGTAACTTCAAGTCATTCTAGTCAGAGCATAATGCAAATCTCAGTGCCCCCAGTCCACATGTCAAAGTGTCCTTGGGCAAGACACTGAACCCCCAAGTTGCCCGTGATGGTGATGCATATGCACGCAGCGGCCCGGGGCCCTTGGCTCCCAACAAAATTTTGTTGTACACGTTACAATGACAATAAAATAAAGCTTCTTCTTCTTCAAGTATAAAATCTTTAAAGTTTATCTATTCATATATCTATTGAGCTCTACTTAGCTTAAATTCTCAACCTGTGGCCTTTATTACCTTGACTGCAGAGAGAAGCTTTTGTTTCTCAAACATGATTATATTAGGTATTACATTATATTACAAACAAAATGCACCTGAAGCACTCTTTAAATTATACATTTTCCTTTGTCCTTTTGACAGTCAAGTAAAAAATTCAAGTCAAATGTTATGTAGCTCAAAATCAAATCATCAATTTGTCTTAGATGAGTTTACAATACTTATAGACTAGGCCATCAACTTGAAAAAGAAGTAATTCCCCAAACTCACAAACACAAACTTGGTTGCAGACACGTAATTATTGGAATATATTATAGAAGCAGGAGAGTTATCTCCAAATCCATCCCAGAGGCCTAAACTGTAAAATGCACTGAAAAGCATAACTGTTGACAGATTGATCTGCAAAGAATGAATTATGCAGAACCTTAAAACAACAAAGTTTGTCTACTGTTGCATAATGACCAAATGGTCAACGAATTGAGACAGCAAGATGGCAGCTGTCCATAAATAGGAGCAAAGCTTTATTCTTTCAACACAAATGATTTTGATCTCCCCACCAACACCGACTCACATATGCGCCAATCGTCAGAGACATGGAGTGTAGGTGTTGACAGTGGGGGAACTGCTGAAACCCTGGAGTGGGGTGTATCAATTTTACTCATAGGTCATGGCAGCATGCCCGCTTCACCTGCTATTTTCCACCCCTCTCATCTTTTCCTACCAAGTTTCACACAACAACAAAGTGCATCCTAATTTTAGGTCTTCATTGACCCATAGAAGGAAGATTTGTCACACTATCCACTACCAACGGCAGGTGAGCGGTAAAAGGTCAGAAGTTTGGTACAGGGCAGCACCTGGGGAACTGTGGAGCTCTGATATAATATGTGGTTCATGAACACTTCTGCAGGCTGACATGGGGCTCAAGGATACCAAAGTGACTACACTTTCAATACATTCAACATAAAAACAGAGATCTCTGCTGTTTGCAGAATAATTGTGGTGCCACTCTGAGGCTGCTGTTTATTCTCAGTCTCTGAATGATTTGTTAAAATATCCTTTTAGGGCCAATACATCTTTAAGGTGCCATTAAAATTCAGTATCCCCATATGAAGGGATTCCCCAAGAGATATTCTGGGGTTCCATGTTAAAGATCTTCAAAGCATTTTGACATTTATTTCCTAGGGCAAATGGATGAGAGCATATGTGGAAATAGAGGTAGATGAAAGTTTGGCCTAATCCTCCTGTTTTAACTCCAGCAAAGGTCAGACTTGTGTATTTCCCACCCACCTTGTACACACATGAAAGGGATACAAATACAAAAGCATACACACTACCATGTGAAAAACAGCAGGGAAGAATGAATCTTCTATTCTAGACTGAACAAAATTATAAACACGACACTTTTGTGTTTGCCCCCAGTTTTCATGAGCTAAACTCACAGATCTATAACTTTTTCTATGTACACAAAAGACCTATTTCTCTCAAATATTGTTCACAAATCTGTCTAAATCTGTGTTAGTGAGCACTTCACTGCGTGAGGCAAATGGTGGTCATACTGACTGGTTTTCGGACCCCCCCGAAGCCCCCCAATACAGCAAAACTGCACATTTTAGAGTGGCCGTTTATTGTGGCCAGCCTAAGGCACACCTGTGCAATAATCATCTGTCTAACCAGCATCTTGATATGCCACACCTGTGAGGTGGATGGAATATCTCGGCAAAGGAGAAGTGCTCACTAACACAGATTTAGACAGATTTGTGAACAATATTTGAGAAAAATAGGCCTTTTGTGTACATAGAAAAGTTGTAGATCTTTGAGTTCAACTCATGAAAAATGGGGGCAAACACAAAAGTGTTGTGTTTATAATTTTGTTCAGTGTATAATTCAAATCTGTTACAGGTATGAAATTGTTCAGAGCTACATTTTGCAGTACTTAGATGGAAAAATGGCTCTCTTTCTCCACAGGTCCCCATAAACAACCATACAATCATATTTTGTGGGTTTCGGCTTTGAAGAATCAATGCTTTTTCTTTTTTTAACAACAGGTACTTCCAGTACTGGTTTTGAACTTGGTCATTTCACAGCCAAACCCTGAATTGTCACAGCCAGACTACATCAACTGTACAACTGATGATGCTTATTAGGTTATGGGAATTATTTTCACAAAAATCTGTCACAAAACCTTTTCTCTGTATCCTAGTTAATGTTGGTGTGTTTGCATTTAGGCTCCAGCCTTCATCAGTGCATCGCACTAAGATGCCTCTTAAAACCACTTAAAACCATTCACTTTAATGTAATTGGCATTGCACCTGGCAAGGTAATCAGCTACAGAACAACCAATGAGCATACAGTCTTTGAACACACACACACACACAAAGTATGTGAGCACCATCCACCAAACTCATCAGTCCATTAAATTACTTCGCATAACAAATGTTATTTTGCTTTCTACTTCCTGTATCAAAGAGTAAAAAAAATTGTAGCACATTTTTTTCAGTATTAAAAATAATAAAGATACTTTTGGATAAACTGTTCATTAAAATGATAATATAATAATGTAAGTCCAAAGGCTAAACTTAAGAAAGACCTCTAAATTGTATTCTTCATTCAAGCTCTTAGGGTGTAAAGTTTTAAGGGTGTCAGAAGCACGGGCTGGCAGCAAAGACCGAGGGCACTTCTTGGAAAACGTGTTGGGAAGGCAGTTGGGAAGCTTGTTCTTGAGGAAGATGAGTGAGTACTGGAGGAAATGTCTCTGTCTCAACAACATCTGGATCCTCCTCTTCCTCCTTCTCTACCGTTTCTGCCAGGCAAGTGACCTCAGCAGTTGGTGCCCTACGCTCCTTCCATTCTTTCAGAAGATTGACATGCTATGTCTGCCAAGGTTTTTTTTTATCAGGATGATGTACAGTATCTCGTATGTTACAGGACCCATCCGTTGAGTGACTGTATAAGGTCCTTGCCAACTAAGAGCTGGAGGATGGACCCATGCTTGCCAGTCATACCAAGTCTTTTGCTTTGCTTGGACCTCTTTCAGATTCTTTTCAGCTGCCTCCTGGTAACACTGCAGCCGATCCCTCAATTGCAGCACAAAATTAACCACCCCTGTCTCAATGGATATTGATTCAAATGCATCTCAGGTTTTGTGTAACAGGTCCAAAGGTCCCTGGACCTCCCAACCATACAGGAGCTCAAAAGGGGAAAAGCTTGTAGAAGCTTGCATAACCTCTCGGTAGGCAAAAAGTGGGAATAGTAGCCAGCAATCCCAGTCCTTCCCAGTGTCATCCACAACCTTCTGCAACATCTTTTTCAAGGTCCGGTTAAATCTTTCAACCAGCCCATCAGTTTGGGGATGATAAGAGGTAGTCTTTATGGATGTAATGCCCAACTGCTTATGAAAAAGCTGTAACAGAAAAGAAGTGAAATTAATATCTTGGTCTGTAAGTATCTTGTCTGGAATCCTCACCCTGGAGAAGAGGTGGACCAAGGCACATAGAACAGCAGGGGCAGTAATGGTGCTCAGTGAAAAGGCCTCTGGGAACCTGGTAGCATAGTCGCAGACTGTCAGAATGTACTGGTGACCTCAGGCACTTTTTGGCAATGGGCCTACAATGTCCATAGTAATTCTCCAGAAAGGAGTAGAGATGATAGGAAGTGGGTGAAGAAGATCCTGGTCAGACCTGTGAGTTGGAGATGTCTTTTGTTTCTCTTTAAATTAAATAATTAATCTTACAAAAAGCAGCAGATGATGTCTTTGGTCTATATGGAAGCAAAGTGCAGCAGTAGTTGGAGTTAAAAACTCATAAATCATGTCATAAATTGTCACTTCACACCTCAGTCTGACAGATGGGGCATTTTATCTCTCTTCCAATTACTGCAAGACACAGATTAACTTCACCAGCTATTTAATGACCCTTTAAAACATACATGAGAAAAGTTACAGGAAAAGAAAGCTACTCTAACTAACCCAGAGTCATCCTGTCATTCTCCACTGAATCCATCTGGTGAAGTTCAAACACCACAACACAGCCCTGAAAAGAAGCTCCTGAACTGTGAGTTTAGAGTTTTATTAGACAGATCTATTACACAACAAATCTGAGTGTAGATAACATAACCTGAAACATCAGGCCAATGGTGACATTTCTGGAAAATATGTACAGTATATCTTAATAGGATGTACAGATGGAAATGTGAGGAGAATAAGATACACAAAATCTGAAGGCTCTTAATGATTCTATCTATATTTCTGCAGCTTTTGACATCTCAGTGTTTATGGAAATATGAGTCATGTCTGACTGTTGATGTTCTGTTTCTTGCTAAAAGATTATACATGAAGGTTAGAAAAACAATGACAAAGCCACAGTTGGTTCTTGTGTTAGTAAATTTCGCTCTCAAAGTTTACTTGAGGTAAATATCTGTCAGGTTCACACTCAAAACTCAAAGGGCTTTAACAAGCAGTAACAAGGGAACTACATAGTGTTCCTTCAAAAATTCCTCCATAAAATATGTCATGAACTTCAGTGATGATTAAACAAGCCACAGACTGTTTTAACTGCACCAAAACATACCTGCTGTGCAGCCAAGCACCATTCAAACAAAGGCATTCTAGTAAATTCTAATAAAAATTGAAAGGTTTCCAAATATTACTGCAGTCATTTGTACAGCAGTTTGAGCAAAATGATGGCTCAAGCAGATAAGAAATATGCATGTTACAATATATATAGTTTTGCTGAGGTAGAGCAGTTACAGTATTTAGTTAATAAAGTGAATGATGGCTTTTACTAATTCCAGTTTACAGTACATTCCGTGACCCTTAATGTTTATGTAATACCCCCATATTCTCCAGAGACAACTGAACATTCAAGCTTCATGGAGCCACACTCAAGAACAAATTCACTGTTCATCATGGTTAACTAGTTTCACAAGAGCATCATTTATTAAAATTAATGATATTTTATTCTGGTGAGCATTGGGCATCAAATATTCACAATATACAAATTGTGTGTTTTGTAGTAAATATACTTTCTATAAAGACAGCAGCATCAAAAATGGCATGTACAAAAATACCCATTTGATTTTCCCACACAACACAATATACCAAAAGAACAAGATAATATATTTATATATTTCTGTATCATAAATATGTGGATCTTTACATGCTGAATACAATTCACTGTAATGGAGATAACAGCTAATAATACAGGATAAAGTACTTCTTGAGACAGTTTCAAATGGTAACACTTAACATGGCAATGGCCTTCTTCCAGTGTGTGAGCCTATGGAAAAGCTGAGTTCAAAATAACACTGCTGATGTACTAATCATATATTAAGATTGGCTATGTATTTACATACCTTTCAGTACATTAATATGCAGTGAAATAAGGTCATATACTCTAAAATGTCACCTAAGAAATACGCACTGCAACAAAATATCATATGGACTAACATACAACAGCTATAGAAACTGATTTCATTGGTTCTTTCAGCACAACATAAACACACACAAACACAGGTTGTGTTCTCGTCATTCTGTGAGATTGAAAATGTGAAGTGCTATATGAGCAAGATTAAAGGAGATTTCTCCCCCGTGGCACCAGTTTTCTCACATATTGCATCATGTTAAACAGCCCGTTCTTTCACACACACATACAGAATGACATCTTTTCGTCTTCTCCCTCTGTCCCCACCCTCCCAGGTCACAGAAATATGAACCAGAACTACAGAGGTGTTTCTGGAAACTCATATGAATAAATACTGATTCTTACTGATTCACAGATTCGAATGGATAAACACTTCACACAATGTATAAAAAAGTGTTTTACTGACATCATGTGTGCAACAGCCTTGATTTCACACCAGTCATGTGGATTTTTTGCCAGACTTTTCAAATAACTAAATATATTTTTCAAAATTTAAAAAGCTTTCAGAAATAGTAATAAAGCTTCTTTGTCCTTTCTTTTTCATTTCTGAAAAACCACTCTTCCATAGTGAAAGCAAAACAAGGACACACTGCCAGAGAACAAATCAAACTGTTTCTTCTCATATTTTCTGTAATCACTGCTCATTGAATAACGTTATTACAAAACAACATCAAGACATGAAAGCGCTTTTAAATTTCTTTTGTAAAATATTGTGGATTATCACCAAGATTAACAACCTCTGGATTACAATGACAAGAAGGGTAACCACTGAAGCAGAAAGTGCATCTGTACCTTTTACAGTTTTAAACCTTGGGTGTACCATTACAGTGAACTGCAACAGCTTTGTGTGTTGGGCTGACTACTGCTGCCAGAAGAAAAAGGTGAATATGGAGGAATACAATCGCATCAATATTGACGACTGTCATACACAGGATAACATATCGCATACACAGTTTGCCTGTACAAGGTTCTTATTTACACATATGACTCTTCTGCAAAAAAAAGATGTTCAAAGTCGCACATCCCTGGGTTGCTGCACTGCCTGTTCTGCCACTCCCTCTTCCCCTGCACAATAGCTAATGCCACTTCATGACTCCTCCGCAGGCAGGCATCCGCATCCTCCTGACCCTGTGAAGAAAAGTAGTCCCTTACAGTCTGGGTAGCAGAGGGAGAAAGGCAGAAGTGTGGGTCAGTGTGGTTGGGCTCCACATCTGACACTCTTAGGCCACTGATTTGGAGCTGGCCTTTAGAAGTATGAGGTCTGTCCAAAGTGAGGCTGGAGGAGGGGTTAGAGTTCACAGTGGCCTTGGTAGGTTCAGATGCTCGGCGGGGGAGGGGAAGGACCCTTCTTTCTTTGTGTCCCTCTCTGGCCGGAGTTAGAGAGTGGGACTTTTGTCTTTGGAGGATCAGAGTGGTAGTGCTCTGTCCATAGAAAACACCCTGTGGGGGCTGCACACACTCATTTCTGGCCTGCCTCCCTATGACCTCACTTCCTGTGTGTGGTTTAGGGTTGTTAGTGGAGGCTGAGCTCTGGGTTCTCTTGGTCCAGATCTGTCCATGGAGCTGCCTCAGCTCTTTGACAGTCAGAGGTTTCTCAGTCCCCCTGTAGAAAGGAGAGCGGCTGTGCTGAAGCTGCAGCAGAGCCTGCTGGTAGGATGGAGGGCTGCTGGATCTCTGCTGGCAGCTTTGATTCACCACTGCAGCATCTAAGGCAGTGACAGAGCAGCTATTACTGGTTGGATGGGTTTTCCCGTTTATCACAGGTGAGACCTCTTCTGTGTGTCCATTGTCAGGCTGCTTTAATGACAGCCGACAGTCCTTCTTGAGCAATGTGTTTGGGTGAAGGCCATGGGGGTGGCAGGTGGCTTGGCTGCTCTGAGTGGGCTGTGGCCAATTAGGTGGCACTCCCCTCTGAGAGTGGGATCCCCTGGGTGACAACTGGGCCCGTCCCGAAAAAGAGGGAGAGAGAGGAGCAGTCTCAGTCAGTGGAATTGCTGAACTGGAAGCATAGTCAGGAGAGTACTGTGAGAAGGCAGAGTCTAAAGAGCTGAGAGAGGAGCCTGTGGGCGATGTTGCCAGTGACGACAAACTGGAACAGCTGGCATCCAGCTGAAATGGAGGTGGAGGGGTGTGCTTCATCTTCCTCTGCCCACCATTCTGCATTTTAGCTCTTCCCTTCTCACATCCATGCTCTCCCTGCTTCAGCTGTAATCCATCCAGCCCCTGCTCCAGAAACACTTCATCCTCATCCTCCTCCCTCTCCCCTTCCGTGGCAGCATCATAGCTCGCTTTCCTTAGAGGTAGGTGACGACTATCAGCATGAACCATCACTTTGCCCAAGGGTGGTGTACTTGCTAGGGCCAAGGCAGGCTCTGAACTCCTCCTCAGCCTCCTGGGGCCCTGTGATGGGCCGTTGACCTGGTGTGTGCAAATTGGTCGAACCGCAGGGCTGAACCTCCTGGGTTGTGCTGGTGGGGGGAGCTGCAATAGGAGGTTGGTTTCAGGATCGGGATCAGGGTCACAATCACTGAGGGTGATGACGGAGTCACGGCTGTGGCTGTCTGGTTTGTCTTTGTCACGAAGTGGCAGCTGCTCCTGGCAGGGAGAATCCGGGTCATCATTCAGCTCATTTTCCAGACTGTCGTAGGATGAGTCGTTCAACTGGAAGGATGACACATCTGGGAAGAGAAAGATGGAAAGGAAAGAAAGAGGAAGATAAAGAAGATAAAGGAAGATAAAGCAATAAAAGAGAGAAGAGAGAGAATATTATTATGAGACTTGGAACAAAAAAGTAGTAAACTGAAATAAGATCAAGAGAATTTAAAGACAGGCTTTGCTTGCCAGGCTTTCTTTCACATTACATTTCCTATATTGATTCCTCAAATTATACAACTTCTGAAGACATCTCCTTGCATGCAAGTATCCTGCAATTTAGCATCTTTCCATTAGATTCCAAAATTAGCAGTCCAACCTGGAGAAGACAAAACCTAATTTATTTACACTACAATCTTCAGCAAAATGCAGTGAAACCTAGAACCGTTGCAGTGTATTGGTAGACACTTCATTCACAAAGCTCAAAAAAGTGAGAACAGTCTGACAGAACCTAAGATCAAATCTTAACCCCTGAGCTGAATGAACAAAATCACAGTTCACTGCTGGAGACGAGGAGAACAAAGGATAAAGTGTCATCTTGCTATGTGCTCCTTGACCTCTGGTAGCTATTTAAGACTGAAGAAGAAAGTTGGTGGTATTTATGAATGAATAGATTCAGTGCTGTGTCACTCCTGTGACCCTCTCAATCACTGAAATTACTGCAGGTCAGTCTACTGACCCCAATCAACAGGCCTGAAGGAGCTGCAGCCACACACATATATACAGTACGCTGTCAGCAAGGCCGTCTGAAGCCACCTTGTTACAATCACTTTCAGTAAGAGGAGTTAAAGAGCTGTTCAGCTACACACACACACACACACTTGGGTTAAGATCACTCCTCAATGTTGTCTCATCTGCATCCCCTTTACTTCTTAACCATGGGCCAATGAGAAGTAAAATGATATTTTTATCTGACCAAAGTGACTAAAAAGGTTAATTTGAAGGTCACAGGTGGATATTTAGTTGCACAACTTTGCTTTACAGACTTAGTTGTGTACATTTATTGTGTTTATTATGAATGAAAAACACTGATTAAGAAGATTTTAAAATCAAACCTCTAAATTAAAATGTAATTTTGATTAAAAGTGGAAGCAGTCTTTTAAACTGGACTTATTGCACTTCTGGTTAGATGCTAAACTGCATTTCTTTGCCTTGTACTTGTACATAGGTAATGACAATAAAGTTGAATCTAATCTAATCTAATCTAATCTAATCTAATCTAATCTAATCTAAATCTAATCTAACTGTTTGTTGTTGCTTCTCATTGATAAAACAGTTTCTTGGATGCAAAATGTTGCTGTCATGTTACTGACTCAGCCTTTCTCAGCCCTTCATCTCCACACATTTATATAACAGCACTGAATTAGAAATGTGACTGCTCAGACCATGAGCTGATATAAATGATGTGAGCTATGTCATTTCAGTGGTTTAATGAAAGAACAGAGCTAAGAACTCTGAGCAAAAGCCAAACCCACAGACTTGGCCTAATCTTCAAAACAATCAAATCTATCAATCTATCTATACCATACTTCATACTGAAGTTCATTGTATTTCCCTGCTCCTCTCCTCTCACTTACCTGATCCATGATCACTGCTGCTGCTCTTCTGGCTGAAGCTTCTGAACAATGAGGGGACATCTTCTCCCAGAGCGCTGCTGCAGTTTTCTATTAGGAAGCGAACCAGCTCACAGACCTGCAAAGAGAAACACCACCTGGTTACATCATGAACTCTCTGACGTTCCTTTGCTCTGCTGCAGCTGCTGCCAATTCACTTCATTTTCATAATGTTGAATGAAGGTGTGATTCTGTGACAAATGTTCTGCAGAACTTGCTGAAGCAGGGAAATAGCCAAAGATCAGCAGTAATTCAGCAAACATGCAGCTTACCAGTGTCTTGGCATCATATACAGGTAAGTGAAAGAAACACTGATAAACCAAATTAATATATTTGCAGTGCCTAGTGAACATTTTAACACAGATTAGTTTGGCTATGATGGTGTGATGAAACTAGGGTGTATTTCCTTGTATTGTGACTACTGTCTGCTTCATTCTGCGGCACTGTGACCTAAATAACTTTGTGATATTAGTTCCAACCAGTCGTCAAAAGTTGTGTATTTTTGTGCGGATCCAGTAACATTGTAAGATAAGTTTGTTTGGGTGCACTGAAGTCAACCTTCCTACAAGAGTATTTGCATTTCACACTGTCCAAGAAAACATCAAACCTCTTTTTCCCAGTCCTGGACAGTATCCTGATTATACAGTCATGGCCAAACATATTGACACCACTGTATTTGTGTCAGATAACGTGCGACTTATCCCAAAAATTGGTTGCAACCACAAATTTTTTGGTATTCTCATGTTTATTACTTTTGTTTGCATTGGAACAACACAAAAAGGCAGGAATAGCCAAATCTGATACATTCCACACAAAACTCCAGAAATGGACTGGACAGAATTACTGACACCCTCAACTTAACATTTGGTAGCACACCCTTTGGACAAGGTAACTGAAATCAATCACTTTCTGTAACCATCAGTGAGTTTCTTCCTCCTCTCTACTGGAATTTTGGACCAACACTTCTTTTGCCAGCTGCTCCAGTCTCATTTAAAGGGTTCCTTCTCCCAGCTGCTGTTGTGAGATCTCTCCACAGCTGTTCTATGGGATTTAGATCTGGACTCATTGCTGGCCACTTCACAACTCTCCAGCTCATTGTGTGAAACCATTTCTGGGGCTGTTTGAAGTCTGCTTTGGGTTATTGTGCTGCTGTAAGCCCCATGACCCCTGACAGAGACCCAGCTTTCTGACACTGGGCCCTACACTGCACCCCAGAATTCACTGGTAGTCTTCAGATTTCATAATGCCATACACACAGTCAAGACATCCACTGTATGAAGCAGCAAAGCAACCCCAAAACATCAATGAACCTCCACTGTGTTTGACTGTAGGGACCGTGTTCTTTTCTTTGAAGGCCTCATTTTGTTTTCTGAAAACAGCTAAATGATGTGCTCAACCATAAAGCTCTATTTTAGTCTTATTCTGCCAGAAGGACTGTGGCTTCCTCAGGTTAGTTTTGGCAAACTCATGTCTGGTTTTTTTATGTCTCTGTGTCAGCAGTGGGGTCCCCCCAGGTCTCCTACCAAAGTGTCCCTTGTTACTCAAATGGCGATGAATAGTGCGAGCTGACACTGTTGCACCCTGTGCCTACAGGTCAGCTTGACTGTGTGGAAGCTAATCAAGCTTCTATATCCATCTTTCAAACAATCCTTCGTTGCAGTCTGTCTTCTCTTTTTCTCTTTCATCCACATCCAGAGAGATTGGCTACGGTGCCACGGGCTGTCTTGACAATGTTGTGCACAGTGGACACAGGAACAGCAAGATCTCTGGAGATGGACTTGTAGCCTTGAGGCTGTCCGTGGTTTTCCACTACTGTGGTTCTCAAATCCTCAGACAATTCTTTGCTCTTCTTTCTTTTCTCCATGCGCGGTGTCGTCCACATGACATAATGCTTAAGTCGGTGTTTCTCACTTCTAACTGGCTGCAAGTGTGATTTCTATACTGCCAGCACCTGTTGATTGTTACAGGTGAGTTTCATGACAAATTAAAGAAGCATCACATGCTAGAAATACAACTATTTCTGATGATTTTGGAAAAGGTGTAAATAATTTTGTCCAATCCATTTTTGGAGTTCTGTGTGGAATGGATCAGGCTTTTTTCTCTGCTTTTTTTTTTGTTTTTCTAATGCAACCAAATGAAATAAACATGAGAATACCAAAGAGTGAAAGCTGAGAGTGTCTGTGCTCTATGGGCTTTATCAGCCCAGTTGGAATCTGTCCACAAACATATCACATACCTGGGCTCAAATAACCCCTTTTTAAACTAAACAGACAAAATGTACTAAACACATATGACGTTAGACAGCAAACGCCTGAGACACTCACAAACCTCTGAGTTAGAGCCTCCCCAATTCATGGAAAGTTTCCACTAAATTTTCCACGAATTCTGCCTGTTGTGTTTATAAATGAGCTGTTTGTCCTGCTTTAGCTCTGCGTCTCTGACACAGTGGGGACAAGCTTAGGGCCGCCCTGTTTGCTTGTGGACCAGATGCATTCACATGTCCGTATGGTGTCCACATGCATTTAATGAGTCAGTGCTCAGAAGACTGTCTGGCTAAAGAGTGCACAATCAGGGTGCACTGTAAACTAATTTCTGCCTATTATTTTGTTATTAAAAAATGTATTTTAAACAAAATCTGACTGTGTGGTGAGCTCATTTAACCTGTTTCCAATTACATCAGCCTGTTTCATTCATTCAAGACATTCAAGGCTTCATAACAGGCAAAAATAATTCTTGATAAATTGGAGCTTTTTAGTGGCATACTAAAATGACCACTGACAGCCCCTTTGTTGTCATTTTAACTGGCAGATGATGGGAGCTGTATTTTCAGATTTATACAACTTCTTTAGCCACACTTTACTTGGCATCACATGGATTATGATTATTATATACGTATATAAAAAATTATAATTATTAAAGTACTTTGGGTTGTATGCTTATTCTTGGTGCTGTTATTGAGGACAGTACTAAACAGTGTACCTGAAGCAGCCAAGTTAGACTCAACTTCATAATTATTTAGTTTCTAGTTAATTCTGTTAAAGTGAGATCTCTGGTTCACCCCAAACACAGCTGTGAGATCTTGTGACATCCAGCAAAAATTGCCAAACAATGCAAAAAAAAAAAAAATCTAGGATTATCAGAAAAGAAAAATAAAAGGACAGGACTCATGCAGCTGCTAATTAGAGATGCTCCGATTGCAATTTTCTTGGTTTATTCTGATTTCTGATTTTTTTTTTATGTCTGATCTGCCCATTCTAATTTTGGCCAATTTCAATTTCTGTAATTGACAGCATACACAAACATTTTTGTAACTTTTCTTTATTGAAAAATTTAATTGTAATGAAAATAAAACACTGTAATAAAGTTTAGCATTTTTTGTCTTTTTCTCACTTTTTTGGCAAACCTCCAATTAAAAATGAAGCACAATATTTGTACTTCTCCAAATATAAACAGGTGCAACAGGCAACAGAAACAGAAGAATGTCTGTTACTCCTGAGTGCACAGTTCTTATGAAGTGTGTGCAATTTGCATTTGCTGTGTTTTACCACAGGCTGGATACACTGTACATATACATGTGTTTCATGTGTGGCCAGTAACTCCCTCATTGTGTACTATTTGTCGAAGCTAAGGACATAGTTTTTCCCTTCCCCAAGGTGTTTCTGTGGGCTCCTCTGTGCGCTTTTTGTTCATCAAGTGCTTCCAATGCACAAGTGAACACTCCCTTGGTACAGACACGAGCACGAGCCTCGCTCGAGGTGCACACAAGATGCTGTGTACTGCACATGCTATGCTTTTGGTCTGTGTCACTGTGTGTGTGACGTGGTCTGTCATGCCTCTAAATCTGACCGGCACAGAATCGGAAATCTCAGAGTGATTAGCTTGTTGCTGGTCACCGGTCAAGGCCGATCGCTGCCGATTGATCAGTGCATCTTTACTATTAATGCAAAAAAACAAAAAATATGATGAAATTTAGTGTGTGCTAGATGGATTTTTTAAAATCACTATGTAGACCAATAACTTTCACAGTCCCATATTCTGTAGAATGTTTACAACAAGCCTGTGTTATCCTGTTGAAGTGTCTGCTCTAAATAATTAAAGGAAAACGTTTACTGCATGACATACAGTAGCTTACTGAAATGGCCTTTAGACCTCTTCATTTCTGTTTTCACCTCTTTCATCTCATCTCTTCAGCTTTCCTCTCTACTTCACTTTCTCAGTTCTCATACCTGCAACTCTCTCCTTCCTTTAGTCTTCCTGATCTCCTTTAATCCCTCATTCGACATTCCTCACTGTCACTCAAAGACCTCTGCTACGTGAGACATAGCACAGTTTCAAAAAGCTTGTGGGGCATTTATGAGACATTCGCCCATCCAACCATCAACAGCCCCTTCAGAGCTGCTCCTTCTTTAACTCAGTAGGGCGTTGTATTAAACTGTCTTCCAATCGTTCAGAAAAACAAGAAAATCAACAGAATGCTGTAGGTCATTCACAAAATACGTGTCTGTGGTATGAATGCAGTTTGAGAGGGGACACAATACCACTGTAGTTTACATGGAGCATACTCAAAACCTACACATGCAAATGCGTGTGTGTTAAGAGATGTCCCAGCTGTGTGTTGATGGGTCATTTCTGGGTTTTTCTCAGTCAACACTAATGTCCAGCAGCCTGCAAAGAAAAGTCTGTTGAGCTGCTTGAGTACCACTTCCTGTTTTCCCCACCACTATATACTGTGTTACTGTAAGTCGCTGTATAAGATTGGTCCATACTTAAAGAAACAAACCCAAGAGAAAAACAGCCTTCTGTTGATTTACAGTGTCTCTCACTTGTGCGTCCATCTTAAGTAATACACCAACATAAGCTCTATTTACCTCAGAAACTCCTTAACAGCTGTGTTCGGTCAAAAACATTAAAATTATTTGCTGAATGAAAGCGTAAGGGACGCAGAGACTAAACTGAACTGGCTAAAACTGAACACTGGAAACTAGCCATTACACAACGAGGGGCTCCAGCTAGTTTAGATTGGCCCCTGGCTCTGACCACGAGGAGGGAAATGTCAAAATCTCACTTTATTTTTAGTTTTTCCCCAGAAAAATACTGCCTTCACTCAGGCCACCCGCACAAACAAGCAGTGTGAGAAAGGGAAAGTGTTATCAGTGGGGTATTTGTAAAAGAGATATTTAAGTATTTGTGGAAGCTGGGGGCATTTGTGCTGACAAGTGTGTGTGTGTGTGTGTGTGTGTGTGTGTGTATGTGTGTGAGGTGAAAAAGAGAGGGGTGATTCAGCGGCACAATTTTCTGCTAAAACTCACACTTGGCTGCAGTATTGTGCATATTGCATATTTTCTCAGTGAACCTCTGCCACCTCAATGATGCACACACACACATTTGGAAAGGCAAGCAAACCAGAAACCCAGCCAGACTATGTGTAACTGTGTGTCACTGTAACTTTCCAAATAACAGACTACAAATCAAACAGCTGTGTATGCTTTATGTCTTTGCATCTACATGAAGGGCTCTGGTGGGGGGGGTATCACTGGGCTGCTGCAGCTACTGCTGTTGAATCAAGTCATTTCAGGTTTGCCTGGCTGACCTTTATTCATAAAAATACAGTTAAAAGGAAGGAAGAGTGTTTGAGAAAATTTGCTGGAGGATTGCTGCAAACCGTTGCAAAAGTGCTTACTACTTTAAATCTTGCTTCTTATTTTCAGATGCCTGTTACAGTCACCACATGTCAAATATAAACAGTTGTGAAGACATTTTCATAAACAATCAAATATTTATGTAAAGTAGACCTTAGATTTTGTGTTAAGAGCCAAGTACATAAAACCAAACTTATCTGCATGGCTAGATAAATAGATAAAGTAGAAAACATAACATAAAAAGTATGGGTTTTTTCAGTTTTGGGGGCTAATCCTTTAATGGTGACTTTTTTTTTTCAGTTTTTGGGGGCTAATCCTTTAATGGTGACATAACTCTCTAACTAGATAATTACATTCTTCTGTGTGCTTCGGAGTAGGTCAGTATGAACCGGTGAAGTTTTCCTTTTTGCTGTCAAATCTTGCTCTGGGTGTTAGTATATTGCAATTTGAGCTTATAAGTCAGTCATGACATGTGGATGTGACAGAGCGCATAGGAGACTGGTTTAATGTATGTGTGACAGCTGTGCATTAGTGGGTCAGCTCCTGCTCAGAGGTCAGCACTCACATCTGTGGGGAAACCTTCAGTCAAATGACTTTCAGGCCGGCACAGACTATGTGTGTATGTGAACATGTATGTGCACACATTATACTTGTGTCAGTGATCATGTGCTTCATGAGTAATTGCTGTAGCAATTGTATTATTCCACAGAAATATTAAATTCCGCAGTGTCTGCGGTCTGTCTCAGCAAGCCATGCTAACATACACAAACACCTATATCAGCTCTTCAAGTGTATTCAGTGTTGCTCAGTTGGATGTTATTTTCTCTCTTGCCAAGAGTTAGATGAAAAGATTGATACCAGTCTCAGGTCTGTACATTCAATCCAGTGCTGGGGCCACCAGGTGATTAGCTTAGCTTAGTTTAGTGACTAACCATCAGGAAACGGCTAGCTGTCCAACAGTAACTACACTTGCCTACCAGCATTCATAAATCTCACAAATTTTCATGTTTCATTTGCTTAATCTGGACAAAAAAACAATGTGTAAAATTTGTGGTTGTACAAGAGGATGTGAGGAGAAATATTTCTTGGCTGAGAGAAATTACTTCATGGAGTCTCTGCTGGTGTTATTAAGCTTTAGGGATATAGACATACTAAATGCCCATACATGTTTCCAGTCTTTGTGCTAAGCTAAGCTAACAAGTACTTTCATATTGAATGTACAGATAGAGAATCTTCTCATCTAGCTCCCAGCAAGAAAGCAAAGATGTGTGTTTCCCAAACAATTTCATTACATTTAATCATCTGAGATTTAAGTACTCACTTTTTTTGTGCCCTCCCCCTCCATCTCAGGAGTGATTGGTGCTGGAGGCCAAAGCATGCTGGGGGCAATGCAGACAGACAGGTTGAAGGCATTCATCTGGTTATCGTGGGCGTTGCCTTGGATACAATGCAGCATGGCGATCACATGTCGCAGCAGAAGCAGGTTCTCAGTGGGCAGAAGGTGGAGCAACCTGTGGGCGAGAGAGTGATGGAGACATCAAAAAAGGAATGACAAAGAACAAATGGACATCATGTGAACTAAATGAATACAGCAATCATAAAACACATTGTAAAACACTTGGTTCCTGGTCAGTGTTCTCACAGTGTGTGCGTGTGTGTGTGTGTGTGTTGTCATGTTTGCTGATTTCAGGCTCCACAGGAATAGCTGCATATAACTCATATAACTTGTTTATTTATATATTTAGGAGCAAAATTAATTTAGTTTGTTCCTTCTGACTTTGAAGCAATGCCCCCTCTACCTCCTTTTCTTCACTCCCTAAACATAAAGCAAGGTGCTGGGACACTCATTTATTCAGGTCTTTCCTTTAATTTGTGACCAATCTGCATAATGAACATCTGTATGACTTGTTGAGTGCTTGTGAAACAGTGACAGCAGTTGATTTAGCAGAAGGATTTTGGTATTAAATATGTGTTTTTAGGATTTGATAAGAGCTCCTACCTATTGACAGCCTGCATCCTTTTTTCTCCTTCCTCCCCCTCCATCACATCCATCCACTGGTCATACAGGTCCACAGACAGCACGCTGCCCGGGATATTTCGCAGGAAATCCTGGAAGCAAAACATGATTTAACTAAGATTAGTTTTTGAATATGACAACCTCAAACATGCCTCAGTGATTTTTTTTTTCTTTATTGAGTAATTATGTTGTGTTGGTAATGTTTTTTCATTTCACTGACTCACTGATCATTTGATTTGTCTTATCTGACTTTATATTTGTTTAACTGTGGCATGTATTCTGATTGGCTGTCAGTGTTTTTTGTTCTCTGGCCATACAAAAAGATCTTGAGCACAGTGATCTCAAACGGAGCTAATCATCCACAAAGTACAAAAATACTACTGTACAATGGCAAATCCCATATATAAAAAAAACACCATGAAAATATGGGCAAAACCCTCATGTCTTGCATTTAAGAAGCTGTATCCAGCAAAATATTTTGCATTTTCATTTTTTCATTTCAATTATATTTGTATAGCACCAAATTGCATTAAAAGTCATTTTAGAAAGTAAGGTCTTGACCTTATTATTATTATTATTGAGGAAAAACCCAACATGTCCCCAACAAAAAGCCAAACTCTAGTTACAGTATATTTGAATAAATAAACAGTTCACACAGAGTGCCACAGAACTTTGGTCATCTGCTGCATGAAACACCTGAAAGAACTATCAAAGTAACAAGGTCAAAAAGTTAAATACTACACTGTCAAAAGCAAATATGGACGTAAGAACATAGAGTACATCCTGTATGTGTTATGTGTGAGCGCAGTGTGGACCCCAGGTGCAGACACAGAAACAACCAGGAGGAGTAGGAGCTAAGAACAAAAGTTTATTAAGCACAGACAGGTTATGCTGAGTGGCAGAGGGCAAGCTCGCCTTGGGCAGGCCGGAAGTGCAGAGGCGACCGGGACAGACAAGGGGGTTAACCGGGAAGAAGAGGGACCAAGGAGAGACGAGGAGACCAGGAGGGACCGAGGAGAGGCGAGGAGACCGAGAGGGTACCGAGGAGAGGCGAGGAGAACGAGAGGGTACCAAGGAGAGGCGAGGAGACCGAGAGGGACCGAGGAGAGGCGAGGAGACCAGGAGGGACCGAGGAGAGGCAAGGAGACCGAGAGGGTACCGAAGAGAGGCGAGGAGATTGAGAGGGACCGAGGAGAGGCGAGGAGACCGAGAGGGACCGAGGAGAGGCGAGGAGACCAGGAGGGACTGAGGAGAGATGAGGAGACCAGGAGAGCCAGCAGCAGGGGGGACACAGGACCCAGAAGACTAGCAGGTGCAGAGCAGCAGGCAGTCAGGTACACAGGGTAGCGTAGTAGTCAGGTAAACAGTGGAGCGGTAGCAGGCAGGTTAACAACAGAGCAGTAGCAGTCTGATAAACAATGAAGCGGTGTTCAGGTACTTATACTGCATAAGGGCGTTGGCAAACAGGTAACACACCGGGTAGGGCAAAGTACTCACTCCGTGGGTTCTACTCGAACAGAGAAGTAATAACAGTAGGAGTCTCTCAGTAACAGCATAGGAACCACTCGTCAAGACGGGATGAATACCAGTACGAACCAGAAACAACTTCATGCGTGGAAAGAGCGTCAATGAACCAGCAAAGAAGCAGCGGAAGACAGGGTGTATATATATTGACGGGACCAGGAGACAGTGGGGCCAGTGGGGGAAGAAGTACTCAGATCCCATACTTAAGTAAAAGCAACAATACAATAGTGTAAAAATACTCTGTTACAAGTAAGTCCTGCACTCAACATGTTACTAAAGTAAAAGTACAAAAAATTTTAGCATTAAAGCCTACTTAAAATATTAAAAGTAAAAGTACTCAATATGCAGAATGGCACATTTAACATAATTTTATATCATATTAATGGATAATAATTACTGATACATTATTTTTTTCATTACATTTAATGCTGCAGCTTGTAAAGGTGGTGCTAGTTTTAACTAGCATATATGCTTATCATTTGAATTACTGCTGGTTAGCTTGTGAATTTTGCCACAAGTGACCGTTAAAGTCTTATGATTCCTAAAATGTGGTGAAGTGGGAGTATAAAGTAGCACAAAATCAAAATACTCAAGCAAAGTACAGATACCTCAAAACTGTACTTAGGTACAGTACTTGAGTATATGTACTTTGTTACTTTCCACCGCTGTATCATTCTCTTTGAAAGGACTAACTGATTAAGAAACAATACAGTTTTTGTCTCAGGTGATGCACAATCCTGCATGTAACGCACAACAAAGAAGCACGATGAATGAGCTCTGTCACCACCTCAGTTGCACCCTGGCTGCCCAATGCTGCAGCGCCTGTTTGGCCTGGATGCTGAACAATGCTGCATCTTGTGCACATAACTGACCACTTGCCCTGCTGTGAACAGACAAACTGTCCTGTCTAGACTTATGTGACTTTGGATGCACATCAGTCGCTTTGGCTTTTTGTTGTCTGAATTCACATGAGTGAGTGTGTGTGTTACCTTGAGGACAGCAGCAATGACGAACACAGATTGGTGTGAGATCTCCGGGTCCTCAGTCCCACTGTCCAGTCTGTCTCGAAGCTCCCGGCAGGCTTTGGCCCCAGCTGACCGCCTGAAGACACCTCTGGTGTAGGGCCCCTCCAGGTACAGGAACACCAGCATGTCCTGGAGAGAAACATCAAACACCAAATCGCTTGGTTCCTAAAATCAAAGTTGCATGAATCCGTCTGAATCTGTCTTTAGCTTCAAAAGAGTTTTCATTATCAGTAGACACCACAAAGGGAGTTCTGTTCAATATACGTACTGTATATGTATATATTTTTATTTAAGTTTCTTCCAAGCATGTAAAACTAAGAAAACTGATATTGCGAAAAACAAAACTGATTAGACATTTCAACAAATACGCATAAGACATCACAACATTCCAATAGTACATGCTTGAAAGGGAGTAGGAAGAAGTATACACTTATCTAGTCCTACCCCCTTTCTTAGACCGTGGTACCATTAGCCCAACACCGGAAACTCAGACCCACAGCAGTGCCAGTCCCCAACAACCCCCATATATCCATCCTATCACCGCCCTATCCATTGTACATACCAAACAAACCAATTTCCTCATTGACCAGCCCCTTAAATTAAACATACATCAGCCACGCCATGCACCCAACGTCCGGCGTCAAGCCAACTACCCCACGGTCTATCTCATCCCATTATAATACCCTCCATTCATCATACTCTTCATCCTACACGCAAAACTTCCTATACTGACTTTTACACCACTTATAGAAATACAAAATCTTTTTTTAGTTGTACTTATAGAATGAATTTTTAAATTTAACTGACCCCTTAAATTGTATCCCACTTCTCTTTCATTAAACTATTTTTGAATTCCACCGGGTAATAAATTGTTCCTAGCTTTATACATGAACACCGCAGTTTTATATTCCACTAAATCAAAAAATGTTAACAATTTAGACTGTATGAATGATGCATTAGTGTGATCCCGATATCCAAGTTTATGGACAATTCTTATTGCCCTTTTTTG